TCAGGCTTGTCTAGCCTACTGAATTTCTGCTAAAGAGTTTTGTTTATCATGCAACATGCATAAAGATGTAATAAGTATGGAGTAGTGTGCCTATGACTTTTTGCCCTTGATTGGCTATTTATCTTTATAAATTTCTCATTTTGTGTATGTATTAGGATTTATATATTGTAGGTAAATGACATGTCTGTAAAATAAAATTGAAAACAAGTCGGGCAAGTTTGCATTTGCAAATGCATATGAATATGGACATATTTTAGTTTGATATTAGAACTTCAGCTCTCAATTCAACTCCTATTTGTTATTTTAGAGATATAATTCAAAAGTAAGTATTTCTGAAGAAATAGTAATACTGATTGATTTTTTTGTATATTTTGAAGATGCCTCGCAAAAAGAACAACAGGATGGGACTGGTGAAGAGGGGGAACCACAGTCGTGGCAGCAGTGGCAATAGACTCGTGGATACTAGCCACGTAAAAAATAGTACGAAAGACCCAACGATTAACGCAACAGATGACGGACCTTTTAGACTCGTGGAAGCTAGCCACGTAAAAAATAGTGCTAAAGACCGGGGGGATACTGCCTCCTTAAAAAGAGTACTAGATTTGCCTTCGGGCACGAATAACAGTGCAGATTCGCCTTCGGGCACCAGAAATATTGCAAATATGCCTTCGGGCGCCAGTAACATAACAAATTTGCCTTTGGGCACATTATCTTGTTCTGAACAGGCTTCATGTTTGACTTTCATTGAAAAAAATTTGCCTGTGACAAAATTATTTGCAACAATTAATCAAGCTAGTAGTTTATTTCCACCTTTTTCAAGAGGAGTTCAGTGTAAATGCAATGCTTTGATGTCGATCATTTGGCAAAGTGCATCTACTTCTGCAGAACTTGATGAAGTGCTCTTTGCTGCGGATGATTTATTTCGAGTCAGAATTGCAGAATTACAGTCAACTGTTCGATTTGTATCAAAAATGCTTCTTTTTCAAGAACTCCCCAAGTCTGTTTTTGTGAATGATAACAGGTATGAAATATGCTATCATGAAGAGATTTATGGGACAGTAACTCACGTTGATTGGGACCACTCATGTGAAAGTAATAATTTGAAGGCAGGTATTGAGCTACTCTTTAGAAGATTCAGTCAAGGATTAATTATGTTTGGAGGAATTTGCTCAGCAATATATCTCAACGACAAGAACTGTCCTGTATTTTTTTATTCGCATTCCCATGGACTTTCATCTGCAGATGGTAGAGCTGTTAAAATCACTTTTAATGATATCAATCAACTTTTGGACTACATGTTTGCATTTTATCAAAGTTGCAATATTTTTTATGATAAGCCAATTTGAGATTCAGCCAGTGTCTGTAACACAAAAAACAAGTGAATCTAATGCGGGAAGCAAACGACCTTCTTTAATTGATAACTACTTTGAGTTCCAAGAGAATATGTCAAAAAAATGTATCACTTCTGATTCTCCGCAAGAAAATCGAAATGAATATAATTATGAGAAATTATATGGGAAAAAGAAGAGAAAACTCGCTGATAAAACAGAAGGACAGAGAAAGTAACCTTAGAAGTATGACCAAAGCAAGAAAGACTAAAGAATTTAAAGAGAAAGAACTTGCATCCAAACAAAAAACCAGAGAAAATTCAGAGACAAAACAGAAAGACAGACAAAGTACATTTAAAAGTATGACCAAAGCAAGATAAAGTAAAGAATATAAAAAGAAAGTACTTGTTTCCAAACAAAAAAACAGAGAAAATTCAGAGACAAAACAGAATGACAGACAAAGTACATTAAAAAGTATGACCAAAGCAAGACAAAATAAAGAATATAAAGAGAAAGAACTTGCTTCCAAACAAAAAAAGCAGAGAAAATTCAGAGACAAAACAGAATGACAGACAAAGTACATTAAAAAGTATGACCAAAGCAAGACAAAGTAAAGGATTTAAAGAGAAAGAACTTGCTTCCAAACAAAAAAGCAGAGAAAATTCAGAGACAAAGCAGAAGGACAGAAAAAGTACATTAAAAAGTAAATCTAAAGCAAGACAGAGTACAGAATTTTGTTTAAAAGAAAGAGAAGCAAAGAAAAGGAAAAGAGACAATGTAGAGCAGTTGGAGAAGGAACGGCTATGTAAACAGCAAATTAGAAGAAATTATCGAGAAAAAGAAAGAGAGAATGAAAGAGTTTAAGGCTAAAAGAAGGCTTGACACAGAATTCAAAGACAACAAAAACAAATTGGTGAAGAAAAAGTTTCATGGTAATTCTTTAGAAGATTGCATAGAGAAATTCCATGAACAAGTAAAAATTGGTCCAATTTATGTGTGTACATGTTGTCATCAGACTTGGTTTTTGAAAAGTGTTGTGAAGCTAGATTCAACTTGTCTTAGTGCTAGAAGTAAAAGTATCTGCACTGGATTTAGATCTGTGAATGACATAGAATGGTTATTTTTAACCTGTTGTTCAGCTCTGAAAGATGAGAAAATTCCAAGCTTTCAGTTAAAAATGGAATGAAATGGCCTGAGAAACCAGATGCTTTGAATTTACACCCACTTGAAGAGAGATTAATATCTCAACGCATACCATTCATGCAAATAAGAGAATTACCCAGAGGAGGTCAGATGTCGGTCAAAGGAAATATTGTTAATGTTCCAGTTGATATTCAGCCAACTGTAAATGCCCTTCCACGACAAATAGATGAGCATGTAACTATAGCTGTCAAACTGAAGAAGAGATTATCTCACAAGTCGGCATGCTTCACAGAAAATGTTCGACCAAACGTTGTAATAAATGCTTTGCAATGGCTTATGAAAAATTCTGAATTGTATAAGAATTGAGGTATAGTGATAGACCATTCTTGGAAAGATGAAATAAAAAAAAGTAATGAGGAAACAGTACAAGAACTGATAGGATCTTTAAATGACAGTGATGATCGAGAAATTGAAGGTAATGATGATGGTTTTTGTGAAGTTACTTTAGATGACTGTATTCAAGGCAATTCTGATACACTTGTAGATGAAGCAGACATTGATACAAATAAACTCTATGTGTTTGCCCCTGGGGAAAACCAAAAACCAATAAGTTTATTTACAGAAACAGATGCAGAATATCTCTGTTTTCCAACAATATTTTGTGGTCAACGCAGAGTTGAAAGTGAGGAAAGAGAAGTTCAAGTACACTACAGTGATATTGCAAAATGGGAGTTGCGCAGTGTTGATAGACGAGCAGCACAATCTGTACCCAACATCTTTTTTAAATTGAAGAAAATTCAAATTAAGCAAGTTAGTGACAAAGTTAATTTGGCATTGAGAAGATGTAAATCAGATGGTAAGAAAATCACTGCAGAACAAGTTTTAAATCCAGCCTCTGCAGAAAAAATTGTGAGATTAAATGAAGGGTATTATATATTTAGAACCCTTAGAAATTCTCCTGCATATCTTTCGTCTAAAAAGAAGGATGTATTTGCCATGATAAGACAGTTGGGTCTTCAAACCTGGTTTATTTCTCTCTCATCAGCTGATACCAGATGGCAAGATCTGCTTAAAACATTGGCAACACTAGATGGAAAAACCCCGTCACAAGAAGAATTAGAGGATTTGAATTGGAGTGAAAAATCAAAACTTGTTAAACAAGATCCAGTGACATGTGCTAGATTCTTTGACAACAGAGTTCAACTTTTCATAAATACTGTTCTTAAGAGTCCTCACAATCCTCTAGGTGTTGTCACTGATGTGTTTCGAAGGGTAGAATTCCAAAACCGAGGTTCGCCACATATTCATATGCTGGTATGGACAAGTGATGCTCCAAAGCACAAAGAAAAAAGCAATGAGGAAATAGAAGCTTATGTAGATAAGTATGTCACATGTGGTTTGCAGGAAAATGATTCTCAAATGAAGCAGCTTGTAGATCTTCAAGTACAAAAGCACTCAAAAACTTGCAAAAAAGTGGTAGGTCTGTATGCAGATTGGGATTTCCTTTGCCACCTTTGCCCAAAACCATGCTTCTTGAACCTTTGGATGTTGATGTTGAACAGTATAGAAAGATATATTCTGATATTCAAAAGAAAATGAATGATTACAAAGATGGTTGCAGTTTAGACTATGAGTCCTTCTTAGAGATTGTTGTAGAAATGTGTGAGGATGAGTATATTAAATGTATTCGAGCTTCCTTGAAAGGTCCCAAAGTGTTTCTGAAGAGAAGTCCATCTGAGATGAGAGTGAATTACTATAACTCATCAGTGTTGAAGGCCTGGAATGCTAACTTAGATATTCAGTTTGTACTTGATCCTTATGCATGTGCCACATATATTGTTGCTTATATCAGCAAATCTCAGAGAGGAATCAGTGCAATGCTTGATAAGGCATCTCAAGAAGCTGCTGAGGGAAATATGGATCTTAAGCGCCAAGTTCGACATATTGGAAACAAGTTCTTGAACTTTGTTGAAGTCAGTGTACAAGAGGCAAGTTATTTAATCCTGCAGATGCCACTTACACAAGCTAGTAGAGAGGTTGTTTTTATCAATACATCACCACCTGAAGACCGAGTTTTCTTACTCAAACATCAAGATGAATTGATCGAGTTACCAAAAGATTCAACTGACATTAAGGCAGATAGTATGATACAAAGACATGCAAGAAGACCAAAACAGCTAGAAAATTGGTGTTTAGCTGATGTTGTTTCTGAATTGGAAGTGACCTTTCCAAAAGAAATCAGAAAAGATATACAAGAGGAAGTGAATGATGATAACCCAGAAGACAATTTTCAAGAGACTTTTACTGATCAGGTTGTGTTAGTTCATTTGAAAAAATGGGATTAAGATCAGAAGACGAAAAAACAAACGAGTTATTAGATATTTAGGGTACAGCCAAAAAACAAATTCTGAACAGTATTACAGAGAAAAAATTCTTCTCTTTCTGCCATGGAGAAATGAGAATGCTGACCTACTTGATAGTCATCAAACTTATGAACAGCACTACAGGCAAAAAGCAAGTATAATACAAATGAAGCAAAGGCAGTATGAACATTATGTGGATGAATTAGAACAAGCTCGACTTCAAGCTGAAGAAGATCTTGATGATTTGGAGACAGTAGCACCAAATACAGAGCATGTTGAGGCAGAAGATGCAGAGATAGGTTCTGAACCATCTGAGGAATTTGTTCATTTTGATCCTGAAACAGTTCAACACAGAGATTTTGATATTGGGCCAGAACTTGGATTGTCCTCAAAAGTAACTGAAACAGAAATGAGTGCCGTCCGCATTCCTGATGAGCAGTATTATAAACTTTTGCAATCCCTCAATACTTAGCAAAGGGAATTTTACAATCATGTAACTTATTGGATTCAAATCAGAGATGAACCTTTATATGCTTTTCTAACTGTTGGAGTAGGAACAGGAAAATCAGTGGTTATTGATGCCATTTTTCAAACATTACACAGAATACTGTACTCAAAAGAAGGTGAAAACCCTGATGATATTAGAATATTACTTTGTGCTCACACTGGCAAAGCTGCATACAACATCAAAGGGACTACTATTGCATCAGCATTTCACAGAAAAATGTATCAAACTCAGCAGCACATGAGTGCAGATGAACTGAACTCATTTAGGACAAAGTACCGGAATTTGTCAGTTGTGATAATAGATGAAATTTCAATGGTTGGAAATAATATGCTATCATTTATAAATAATAGACTTCAACAACTTACTGGGAGAAAACAAGATTTTGGTGGTATTAGTATCATAGCTGTAGGTGATTTATATCAGTTACCACCTGTTGGAGACAAGTGGATTTTCAAAGACCTTTCTAATCCTGGTCAGAGTTTAGCAAACAATTTGTGGCAAGAACATTTCTATATGCATGAATTAAGTGAAATTATGAGACAAAAGGATGACCTCAGATTTGCAGAAATGTTAAATAGACTCCGTGAAAACAAGATGACAGACGAAGACAAAGAACTCATTTCTCAACGTTTCATCAGGCAAGACTCTCAAGACTATCCTAAGGAGGCACCTCATCTGTTTATTGAGAACAAGTTTGTTGATTGTTTTAATAACAATCTAATAGAAAACCTTTCAACAAATAAAGTAACTGTAAGAGCAGACACAGATGTATTATCACAGACAAAACTTTCTGCATCAGTGAAATTGAAACTAGTTCAAAACTTGCCTGAAAACCCAGCATCTACTGGACAATTGAGAACTAATTTGGTTATTGCTGTAGATATGCTATATGACATATCAGTGAATCTTGATGTTACAGATGGATTGACAAATGGTGCTTCCTGTGTTGTGAAATACATTGAATATAAAGAATCGCAATTAAGACCTGCCATAGTATGGGTACTTTTTGCTGACTCAAGTATAGGTATTTCACGAAGACATCAATACAGGCATTTGTTTAGCACAAATGTTAATACTGCATGGACTCCTGTATTTGAAGCTAAAAGAACATTTGCTTATAACAGGAAGACATATGAGAGAGTTCAGTTTCCACTGCAACCATCTGCTGGAAAAACAATTCACAAAGCACAAGGAGCAACTCTTACAAAGGCAGTAATCAGCTTAGCACAGACAAAGCAGCGAAAAATTCCTCATATACATTATGTTGCACTTTCAAGAGTAAGGTCACTTGATGGTCTGTTCATTCTGGATTTCAATGAAAAAAGTCTTTCAAAAGATGAAGCTGTTGATAGAGAGATGGAAAGGTTAAGAGAAAATTGATTGCAACTCTCATATACACCACTATACTCGGTATGTAAAGATATAAAATTTTTGTTCAACAATGCCAGATCTCTACACAAACACTTCCTTGATATAAAATCGGAACCAAGTGTTTTGGCTGCAGATGTTATTGGTATAGCTGAATCTTGGCTTTGTGAATTAGATTCAGATGAAGACTTTTGTTTAGAGGGTTTTACAATGTTCAGGAATGATGCAAGTTCTTCCCAGAGCAGACCACATCATGGTATTGTCATATATGTGAGAAATCAATTACAGTGTGTTTCATACAGCTCTTTTACTTCAAAATCTGTTGAATTTTCCATCATTTTGATTATGCTCTCCAATACTCCAGTACAGTGTATAGTTTTATACAAGCAGCCTTCTTGTACTCTTCAACTCTTTTACGATACCTTGAAAAACAGGTTGCTACCATTGGTTGATAAAGATGAAAAGACTGTGATAATGGGATATTTTAATTTGGATTTAACTACTGGTCAATATGCACATTTCCTGAACTTTATGAAAGAAAAATTTGGTTGTGTGCAAATCATAAACAAGGTAACCACAAAAAATAAGACGCAGTTAGACCTAATATTTACCAACTTTACTGATTTAGAAACAGATGTTCTTCAGGCTTATTGGTCTGACCATAATATGATTTATTGTGCTGCAGATATGACTTAAGCAAGCTATTCCAATGACAGAACTGCATTTTAATTACATTGTATAGCATTATAAAACCCTCTTGAGCAAATAACAGGCAGTATATAAATATTTAGTTTCCAATGGAAGCTAAATATTTACATACTGCCTAGAGTGGTTAGGCAAAATCAAGGGTTGCCACTCATCAACTTAACTTTTTTGTCCCAATAACTCTTGGTATGTTTTATATATATAAATGTATTTTAAATTTCATTATTGGGACAAAAAAGAATTAGATTAAAATGCCCATGAGATGAAATTATGTAGTTTATTAATGATAGTTTGTACTGTCTACTTTTTTTAAATTTAATTTTAATTTATGTGTAATTATATTGTTAATCCACAATTTAAAATCCACATCAGCATTGTCACTATATTTGATACAGGAGGTAGTTTTATAACCTAACAGATTGCAAATTCACATGTTAACAGTTCTGTAATGATCAAATTAATATACCATAAGTTAAATGTTGTATTATGACCTTTGATTTTGTATAAAAATGATATTATTTTAATGATATACGGGTACGTATGTCCACAAGATTTGATTGAATGATTTGATTTGATTGAATGATGATTATTGTTTCTTTGTAGCTTAATTGTTTTCTGTAATGTGGCCATGTGTGGATAAAATATACAATTGATCAAATATTATATTTCTTTATTGTAAGTTTTATTTTGTTCACTTTTACTCTTAACAATTATATATATATTTGTGTATTAAGTATAGTACATGTATCTATTTTAGTAATACATGTACAGTTTAACAATTAACATTTCATCTCATGGGCATTTAAATTATGGAATTTAATATTTCAATCTTGCTATATTAGTAGTAGATATATAAGAGAGCATTCTTAAATTGTGCTATACATAAGTATTTATTAGCTATTATACAATAATGAATAACTATATAATTATTATTGTATTATCTACCTTCATAAAAGTAACATTGCCTACTTTGTAACCCAATATCACAAGTGACTATCAGTATGATCTACAAAGACACTGTAAACATCCAGAATAGTTTTCTCCCAGAAAACAAGCACTAGCTCCAGTGGACATCTTAAACTTTTAAATGAACATTTTGTTTCTGAAAAGACTTTTATACTCCTGAGCTCTATTACTTATAAAAATGTAAAATCATTTTTTTTTTTTGTGGAAAGACTAGTTCATTGTGTTACATTTAAAACAATAGTGTTATCTAAGTGTTATCTGTTATTTTAAAAAAAAACATTTATTTAGTTTATTATTAATTGCTAATACTGAAATGTTTCTCAACTTGATTGTAATAAATGTGATATTAGTAACAGTCATTCACCCTAAGTGAATTGTTTCTTTAAGGATACATACCACAAACAATTTTTTTTTATCTCCCACATAGAAGAGTTAATTACACTGAAAAATTTTCAATATTCTATTCAATGGAAATGCAATTAAAACTTACTGATCAGTAAAGTTGCAGTTCTGTTTTTTTTTTTTCTCTCGCCAAATTGTTAATTGCTTGGCCAAACATTTGTTGCTTAAGTAAACAAATTTATATCACATAATCTAAAGTGAGAGATAATTGAATTTTTGAAGGAAAAAAGTTTCTGTTATTTATTCTTAAGTACATTTGTTATTACTTCATATTAGAAGTATTTTTTTAAGTATACACTGTAGTATTCATTTTATAAATGACTTAAATTTGGACTTAACGGGGTCTAATATTGTATCTGTTTCATATGATCCTGAAACCTGCAGTGGTCTTTGTATCTCATTATATGAACAACTTTTAATCTTTCTTTTCGTTTTCGGTATGTAAGATTAAAAAAAGTTGTTCTAAAAATGAATGAATGAATTAGGGCAGCTATTTCTTTGAAAAATGAAAAATATGAGTTCCATTGCACAATTCTTTTTGAATTGCATGTACTAAATCACAAACTATATATGAAGTATTTAATCGTATAGGAATTTCTTATATTGTACAACTTTTTTGTTTTCTTTTGTTTTTGCAGTGCTTTGAAATGCTATTGCCAGAGCAAGATGGGTTAAACAATGTTCTTAATAATTTCAAATTTTTTTAATCTTGTCATCTTCCATTTAAAATTTGTCTGTTCAATACACTTTTCATAATATTGTAAAAGGCTAGAATATCTCAATGGTTTAATTTTTTATATCATGTGCAGATGTCCAATAATAGTAAAATGTATTTGTATAAAATATGCTAAGGGGACCAATGTGCATCAAACTTGACTATAGTATAATGGACTCAAATTAGTTCTTTAAAAAGAATTATCAATTCAGATTTCAAAATATCTTTTTATTAAATGTTGTAAGTGTCTGAAATCACAAACATGAAGCAACACTTTTTGAAGGTAAGTAGTGTGGGAAGAAGGGGTCAATGGCCAGCCCGTAAAGGGAGGTAAACCTTTCTTCTTTCAGATGATAATGAACAAATTTTTTAAAGTGAAAATTGCTTCAAATATTGTTTTATGGTAAAATTTCAGACATTTGCAAAACGTTTTTATCAATTAAGTACTTTTAGCTTTCAAAACTAAAGAAAATAATTTAAATCATAACAGTCTATGAAATGTTAAAAACATTGCTTTTGCACACAACTATTGAATGCAGATGTTGTAAATTTTATGTGGCATGATGATATTTAAGTGATTGTTGTACACTTGATTAAAAGCAGATTAATATGTAACCAATATATACAATATAATATGCACATAGATATATTGTATGATATCTAGATTAAGATGTTTTATTGCAAGCTGCTGTTATGATCAAGAACTTTTATTGATTAATTATAAACATCTTTATAGTTTACTTGTAGTTCATTATACTGAAATGCTAGAATTTAAACCTCAATAAATCTTATATAGTTTGTTTTGTATGTGTCCAGTTTTATTATATGAGGATTTTAGGAATGAGAAAGGAAAGGGTTAATTTGAAGTATATCGTAGATTACGTACATTGATAACAGTATAAAGTATGTAATCTATTTAAATTGCACAAAGCATGCAAAGGTATAAAATAAATTTATATTAATTCATTAATACAAAATGAAGATTTTAATTTTTTCAAATCCAAGTCAATATAGGTATGAAATAAGACCAAGGGTCCTTCATTATTAATTGTGAATTTAATCATGCACAGACCCCTGGGTTTCGTGGGTCAGTGGTAACATAGAGAAGAGGGGGGGGGGTCTAATTTTTTTTAATACTGAAAATGAATTAATGCCTTCGAACATTTATGATCAACAAGGTGCCTTTTCCAAAACTGTGCAATATGTGTGAACCCTGGGGTCAGGGTCCTGGTACTACTAATTATTGCTGAATATTACTGATGAGTTCAAATGTGTTTTTTCTCTACTCTGCATGCCTACGGGTATTAAGTAACCAATCTAAGCAAGCTAAGTGTATAGTTATAATAAGCAATGGTCCCTCTTTCAAAATTGTGTATGCCATGGCCTCTGGTTTTAAAAAAATTAACCAAATTGAATGGTTGAAAAGTTGTTGCTTGATGCTCAGGTGACCTATAAGGCCCATGGGCCTCTTGTTTTGCTAGGGAGTCGACAATGTTAACGTTTCTTCTCAGCCATGTCCCTAATTTTCCTTCAGAAGTGAGTGACCCCTCAAATCAAAGCACGCCTACTTGTCTTTCCTTCGAAAAACTTTATCGAAACCTTGGATACTTTAACACTTTAAAAAACTTTATCAAAAACTTTGATACTTCGAAAAACTTTATCGAAAACTTTGACACTTCGAAAAACTTTATCAAAAAAATGTATACTTCGAAAAAGTTTATCGAAAACTTTGACACTTTGAAAAACTTTATCGATAACTTTGACACTTTGGAAAACTTTGGCGAAAACGTTGACACTTTGATTTACTTTAGTTAACTATAGTAATTTTTGGTTAGGGAGGCGACAATGTTAACGTTTCTCCTCAGCCATGTCGCCCCGTGGGGATCCTGGTTAGAATAGGTCCTCAGTTCCCCCTTGCTTGTCGTAAAAGGCGACTAAATAGGGCGGTCCTTCGGATGAGACCGTATAAACTGAGGCCCCGTGTCACAGCAGTTGTGGCACGAGAAAGATCCCTCCCTGCTCAAATGCCGTAAGTGCCGAGCATAGGCCTAAATTTGCAGCCCTTCACCGGCAATGGTGACGTCTCCATATCAGTGAAATATTCTGGAGAGGGACGTTAAACAGTATATAATCAATATCAGCCATGTCCTTAATTTTCCTTCAGAAGTGAGTGGGTCACAAATCAAAGCACGTCAACTTGTCTTTCCTTGGTTAAAATCTCGAG